AGCCATAGAAATAAGCAGCATTTCCCTTGTGCGAGTAATGTGAAGTTGTGAACAAAGCAGAATTAAAACAAAAAGTTAAACACTTAATTTTAACTTGTGCACATGCGGAAAAAAGAAGGGAAAAATTCATGAATTTGACACCTGTAATTTGTTTTCATTACAAACAATTAATTTGAATGTGAGCGGGTTTTGTCTACCATAAATGGCTAGCTACTTTGATCAGATCTTTTAAAATACCTGAACTAAGCCATTTTATATTCCTTCTTATCATTTGTCATTTGCCAGGACCGAGCATACCAAGAACAGCTTCTATCCTTGTACCATTTCGCAATGGAATCATCAAAGAGTCAACATCGGCCAAGTCTTCCAATACCAAAATTTGGAGCTACATGCAGATTGACCACTCAGCGCAGCTGTACACAGGCAGGCTAGAGCGTTGATGTGGCTCTACTTCATCTAAAAATTAGATGATGTCTGCAACCCACTGTATTTTTATGAGCACCTTTTTATTTTGACTTTTGAACTCTGCACCCTCAGTTGTGATGTTTGTTGACATTTTGCGATGCCACAGAAGTCTGGACGTATACCAATTGGTTAGGTCCAGTACCACCTTAGATGTAGATGTAGATGTTGTTGTTTTTCTGACAGATGTACTCAACCATCGAAACTTGCGGGACATAGACAACAAATCTTCTAAGACACAGACTTCACACATCAGTCTCCATTGCATTCCTGGATCAGCATTTTCTGGACTTCGCATAGGAACAAACAATCTTGAAAGGGGAGTTTGGGAGAAGGACGAGGAGGATTTTGTTCAGCTTATTCTTTCAGTAAAAGGAAAATTCATTTCAAGTGATTACATTTTGTATCTCTGATACTTCGAAGGTGGGGTTCCGGAGCTTTACATGAACAAAGCATTTATTATAAATAATAAAAAAAACTGATTGAACTGTCACCGTTATACAATTTAAAGGTGTTTTACTCTGATAATACTTTTATTCTCAGCGACACATTTCGTCGCTGTTTTCACGAAGTGACGGTAGTGAAAAAAAATTGCATTCACTTTGCGTTACGATTTTCCTCATTACCGTCACTTCGTGAAAACAAGGACGAGCAAGTAATAGTCTCAAGTTCTCAACATACATGTCAAAGTCAGTTTATAAATAAAATATGAATATTATAAAATGGAAATTTTATTCCTAGTCCTATTTCATTTATAATTTTTTATCATTAGTAGTAGTGTTAATAATATATTTTTTGTTTAACCGGCTATGGTGATAATGATGACGGTGTTTACGATGACGATGGTGATGATCATGATGATGGCTATGGTGGTGACGGTGATTATGATGATGGTGATGGCGATGGTCATGATGGCTATGGTGATAATGCTGACGGTGATTATGATGATGGCGATGATCATGATGACAATTAATGGTGATAATGCTGACTGTGATGATGGTGATGGCTATAGTGATAATGCTGACAGTGATTATGATGATGATTATGATGATGATGATCGTGATGGCTATGGTGATAATGCTGATGGTGATTGCGATGATCATGGTGATGGTGATGCTAATAATGGGGATCATGATGGTGGTGATGATGATAATGATTGTGATGGCGATGATGACGTTGATGATTGTGATAATGATGTTGAAGGTGAAAATTAGAATATTATTAATTTCGTTTGCACCCTTTCAACCCACCACACATTGAAATTTATATCTGATGGTCATTACCATATAAACAGAAACAGAAAATAAATGATCAGATATATATTTTGCGGGTCACTATAAACAAAATCAAACAGAAAAGCGAATAAGGGAAAGAATTTTGTAATTATTTTATTTCTAAAAATACACATGAACTGGAGTTACTTAAATTGACAAAAGAACCATCAAATAAAATATTACCATCAAAGAAAGCCTGGGGATTACCAAAATGAATTAATGTTTAAGGCTCTTGTCATTGATTAGTCCATGGTTTACAATTTAAATAAAAACACATTTCATAACTTTTACAACTAACCGCCTGCAATAAAACCATGAAATTTATCAGCAGGGATGGGAACAATCATATTTTCATTTTTCAATCACAATGCCGATCGCATCCCCAACCCCCCCCCCCCCCCCCGAAAGTTTGTATTTTCACAAATAAACATTTGAGAAAGAAAATGTGTCTTCTTTGTTAAAATTATATCAAAGCCTGGCCAAAAATAGCATAAAGACACTTAAACACTCCCCACTGTCCCCTATTCACTCTAGAGCTGGTATTCTATAGTGTACTTGATTGTACTTGAGTACGTATCCGCATCCAACTTGTACTCTCTGTAGACTTCTATTATTAAGTAGCGCATGAGTATAATACACAATAATAAGTATCTGGGGCAATACAAAAGCCTCTACGTCCGGGGTTACGCACCCGAGAGCAATACGTAAATATCCCTAATCACCGTCTATTCTCCGTGCGTGTTTATGTACAGCGCACGGACACAGAACATCGATAATCGACGCAAAGCTAGATATAACGTAGTATCCCCCGGTCGGCAGGTGACGTCATACTCTGATGACCCACGCATATCGGCTGTGTCACCGCTGTTGAATATGTTGGAATGAACATGGTGTTGTATTTACCGTGTTCCTGACCGATATAAAGAACTAAAACAAAGGAAACAGTGATGGTTTGAAAGTTTGTATATTTATCATCACAATGAACCAAATTACTTTTTGATGCAGTAGCGTTTTCATATATTTTTTTAATGCTGCATATCGTTAAGTTGCTGTGTTTTTTAGACTGTTTTAAATGCTCTTTTTAAAGCATGTTAACGTTAAAAAAATATCTTAATGTTTTGTAAAGATGGATTATTTGGTCCATCTTCTTTACATTGGTACATAAATGAAACAAATCTACAGAGAAACATTGATGCAATCGTAATTTTCATGTACCAATGTTTTCTGCTTAATGTCCGGTTTTACCGTACATAGCTTGCATACGACTTGTATAAATACGTGCGAATTCGCGGGCGCTGCGGACTGACTGTTTGGTTCAAGTGTTATTCAAAATTGATAAATTCTTCACATTCTGGGGTTTCTTTACATCCGTTTGAAACAACAATAAATAAAAGTTCAGGATTACTTTAATTCTCTCTCATATTATTTTGTTCTGAGAATGTGCGGCAAGTAAAAATCCAAAATTTATAACTGACAATATTTACCAGTCTTCTGTCCTTCAATAATAATTGTCTTTAATGATTGTTTGGAATGTTTATAATTATCATGTACATGAAAACATTTAGCCCCGACACTAATATTTATTGATATACCTTTCTTTTCTTCTTCTTCAAAATGTTCAATTAATTTTGTTAACACTTTTATCTCTTCTTCCACTTCCGTCTTCCGAAGTTCGCCTTATCAATCTTCCGGTATTGTGGCCAATCTTCCGTCATGCTATACCCTCCAAACATGGACAGCAGATCACAGCGTTACACGAATTACTGTACAAGATTTTGATTTAACAGAGCATAATGGCATCTGACAACAATACTAATTAAATTTTCAAATAAATAATATCTTAGTGTTTACAGCAATTACTGTTTTCCCAAAGAAAAACTTGTTTCTTTCTTTTTATCCTCTATCTTTTATTAATTTATTAATACTTGCATAAAAACACATAATTGTAATGATTTCAAATACAAAAACATCAATTATTATATTTATATCACACAATTAATTACACATTTGTAAACATAATTTACATTTCTTCCAGAGGTGATACTTTTCAACATCTGCTCTTTTAAATATTTCCTTTAAATGAATTTAGAATATGTTCGTAAAATTACATTTCATTTTTGTATATATATAAAACATAAGAAACTAAATTAATTGATAGATTTTTAAAACTACATATTTTGAATTTAAATAATCACATTGCTTACAATTACTCATTGACACCATCTCTGATGTAGAAAGGGGGAAAGGATTCTGGTGAAGTGACCGTCCACTTCACACAAACTACACAAAAATGGTCATAGCGCCACCTCTCGTAAAGTGGAACACAACAATGTGAAGGAACGGGCTTTCACATTACATCGACTATTTCGATTAAAAGGATTGTTTACGTCTATCACATTCGCTTTTTAACAATGAAAAAGGACATGAGAAAAAACAGTTGCATCCGAGCTGTTAACAGCACATATTCTACGAGATAGAGAGAGAGAGAGAGAGAGAGAGAGAGAAAAACAAATCCGAGAAAGCATATCCCATGTTAATCATTTTCGGACTAATGCGTGAGTGGGGAGGGGTGTGGGGTGGGAGAGGGCACTGTGGTGGTACTGTTATTATCATTTTTATTATTAATATTTTTTTTTTTTTTTTTTTTTTTTTAAACTCGTAAACTGCAAACGGAAGCCTTTTGACGGGTATAACATAGTGTCCATGGTAATCACTAAACTAAATCAAGTTTTTACTTATTTTTGCAATATCCAACAATGTATGATTTATTTATTTATTTTGTTGGTCATAATGTTGATAATATATAAGTTATTTTTATTTTATTAATTCCAGAGATGTTTTCTAGACTTTATGGTTTCGATATTGTTCCACCATTCAATGAAAAGCAGAGCAAGTGTATCACATAATCCTTTATTTCCTTTAGTCTCTTATCCCTAATTTATTTTTCTTTCCCTCTCTCTCTCTCTCCCTTCTTTCTTATCGTTTTAATCTAATTCCATCATTCTTGCTGGCGTTCCTTCCCCCTCTTTTTGTCATTTACTGTCTTCAACTTCCCTGCTTTGTTTTCTCCTCCCCTGACCCCCCCCCCCCCCCCCCCCCCCCCTCCTCCTCCTCTTCTCATCTTTTCACTACCTCTCTTCCACACCTTCCCTATCTGTTCCGGTTGGCGTAACGCGCTCACGTGCGTTTTTAAAAACGGTGATCTTTGAGCTTTCTGAAGTAGCCAAACACCGCCGATGTACAAGTCATGTAGAATACACACAAGCCGCCGATACTCTACAATACACGTAGGTGTATTTTTGTGCCGTGTTCCGTAGCAGACGACGATCGCTGATCGCGACCAGACGAAGCTGTCTCGCTTGAGGAACCCAAAACGGATTGAGGCTAACACCAGCTCCTCCCCTTTACCGGTATAAAAGACCTCCGCTCTGGCTCTACCAGGCATCAGTACATTCGACATCCAAGAAGTGCTGAGATACACCAGTGGTGCAGGCAGAGAGAGGTATCTAACCAAGGAATTGGACGTATCCATCATAGCAACGGATATCTTTTGCCTAATTAGTACTTAATGAAGAGGAGTTTGTCTTCTATGGATAAATTTCGAACGTTAATATCTGTCTTCTAATTATTGAATGGTTCGCGGAGTAGTAAATTATTTTCTTTCTGATCGCTGAGAATGCTCCTAATCTTCATGACTTCAGTAGCGCGGTTGAGTTAATATGGTTGAGAGTCATGACAAAACTTTCTGCTAAGTTTGGTTGCCCCTTCTTTCATTTTGTCTTTCCTACCGGATAGGATACCACTTATTCTTCAGAAGTCATTCCAAGCACAACGAATAAAGTTTAGAAGCATCATCTTGTCTTGTGTCTTCCAGCGAGACTTGGCAATTTAGTTTATAGTCATAAATAATATTATCACGACTTGTGTAAAATATATTCAGCTTTCAAGTTATTCATTAATCAAGATAAACTTTGGTGACCGTCAAAGACAACAAGACCATGTTTTCATCAAGCAGTACATCCTCCTCCATACGCTGCTGTCTGGCGGCGTCGTGGCTGGGCCTCGCAGTACTTTCCCTCACCTTTGACGGCCTCGGTGCCGGTGGACAGTGCAAGTTCGATCTGCAGGAGTACCAGGACCGGCGGATTGCCGCCATCAAGGGACAGATCCTCAGTAAACTGGGCCTCACCGCCCTGCCCACCGATGATGGACCAGAGGATGTGCCTAAGGACATACTGGATTTATTTAATCAAACAGTGACACTGCTCGAGGAGAAATACGAAAACGAGAGGGAACAGTGTAAGGGGTTGTCAGGCGGTAGTGATGACTATTTCGCGCAATTGCCCATCTTATATGGTATAGTGGAAACTGATATTGAAAAAGGTAAGTCCATGTTACTTCATTCTAAACGCATTTTTAACCATGTTGCCGTAACTGATACCATGCACCATAGTCATAAAAATATACCGACCCAACTTAAATGGCTAAATTAGAACCAGAGTTAGGTACTGTATCAAATGATGTTAAATGAAAACAGTCATTAACAAAAAACAGAATACTATCTAGCGTAGTGTAGTCTATCCCTTTGGACTATTTGGACAACTATATACTGGGAAGGCATTAATTGTTATAAATGCTTTTACCATAATAATAATCACATAAGGACGATTGCCAATATCCGTATTTTGCCAGACGGGTTTAAATATGAACTTTCGCCGATCAAAGTTCAATTTCCATCTCTGCGTCTGAGTAGTCGGTTGTTATTAATTGTTATAACAAGAATCGAATCACCATTTACTATACAAACATAAGTGAACATAAGTTAATGTCATAAGTGTTCTTCAAACATTTTACATCGAGAGGACAAGTATAGTTCATGGTACCACTGTAGCTAGTAATGGTTGTATAGTTTGGGGGGGGGGGGTTGATGATGATGAGCAACACTACACCTGTACGCGTGTGATTTCCGTCATACTTCACATTTCGAATTGTCAAGCTTGGTTTGTTTTCCCGGTCAAGGGTGAAATTGTGCCAAGTGTTGCCATTATTCAATCCTGACACATTTTGGTAATAGAACCCAATGATATCCTTTTACATCACGGGCAATATGAAACTAGGTGAACCCATGAAAATCAATCTTCTAGTTGGGAATTTTCACTAAGGGACGATCTGTGCATTAAGTTCACTGAAGAAATAAAAAGTTCATGTTGTAAATTAGTATCATGGATATGGATTCCTGTTTTTAATAACGATCGCCATGTACTTTGGGTATCCAATAATATAAGGTATAAAAGGGTAAAAATGCATTTGCATCATTTTCTCCTAAAAACTATTAATTTCCAACATTCATGTAGCGTAGGATTATGTATTTTTTGCGTGTAGAATGGTGGGACATGACATGATAAGATTCGTAACTGAACTGTTGTCTTTGGTTGTATTTTTGACGTTAAGTCAAATTTGACTAAGTATGTACTCCTATAGTTTGGTTCTTCGGTTTAATCAGGCGAGGTAGTCGAATGATCGAATCATAATAGTTCCTAGCTTCTTTACTATACTATTCTATAATAAATATTCGATACGCCTGGAAGTGTTGGTTAACAACATGTATTTCTTTAAACTCATGGAACTATATTGGTGATTGGAAGGTACAGATGCTCTCATCAATACATCTGCAAATGGATATCAATACTAATAAAACAAATACATTAGCTCTCCTTAAGTTCACAACTAATTTTTAACAAGATAAACAAATAGGTACCTAACAAGACCACAAAATGTGGTTTCCCGGTATCCTACTTCAGCAAATACTGTCTTGCGGGGGCTAAGTTTGTGTCTACTCTAGACGGATTTCCACATGATTTCGCAAACTCTAAACCGGGAAAGAGCAACTCAAAGGGATAACGATGTGATTAACCTCACAAAAGCTCATAATTAGATTAGGAAACATCGTTAAGAGCTTAGCTTAATCTCATTGGAGGGATGAATAGGTGTTTAACGAAGTTAATGAGGGAAATAATGGGAGCGCGAGCCCCAGAATTGATCCATCCATGAGGTAAAAAGGAGGGGTAAATTATAGAAAGCTTCTTATACGGGTATTGTACGCCACAAAGAGGTTCAAGTCGTGCTACCGGCGGCACTAAAAGCGTGTTCGTCCAACCAGTAAGTTCACCCGCCCATACGTTTAAGCAACCTTTTAGTCACACGTCGTCACTTAGCATCATGTTAATGAATGAAGTTTTGGAAGCCATAAACTTTGTAGTAATATTGACGGATATTGACAGGTTTTTTTAATGAATGAACCTGAGGTGGGAGAATGGCGATATCATGAAGGAGGGCATCATTGTTGACGAGTATTTTTTGGATGCTCCTTTTGATAGTTAATTACACGTGAATTATGGACCGAAGATCTTATTAAACTGATCTGGTAAACACGAAAGGTATTTTCAATAGAAATGAAAGTGAAATAGTCTCTGCTGAAAAGCTTGCCAATGAAATCATTACTACACCATGTCTTCAATCGGAATGAAAAATATAGGTCCAAATAACTTGATCAAAAGAATGCAAAATACCCTAATGATAGATGTCACATTTTACTTTTGAGCAGTTCAGCGACTCGCAAATGTCACGACAGTCCCTTCATAGCTTTAGAAATCAAATGTCTAGTCCCATATAGCGTGACCTCGATACGACACAATAAATCTTTTGCCTGGAAAACAAACCACTTTGAAAACGACTTTTCTAAACGGTTTATATGTTTGCCTAAACGTTCTTCATTGGTCATTAAATGAGTCATTGTCAGACCATTAATTCATTATCGAGTCTCTGGGGAGCACTGAAAATAATTCGAAACAAAATCAATATAGTCTTGATTGGAGTATATATAGCTTTAAACTGATGGTAGTTGAGAAATTGACATGGAACACTAGGCTGGCAGACAAGAAAAACAATAAAAGAAAGAAAAGGAGAAATGACGACGAGATAATGATTGTATTGACGAGAGGAGAGAGGAAAGTGATCGCCGGAGATTTCATCTGACCCGCTCTTCTCGTGTAATAGCCGATGTGGGATTTACTATGCATGCCCGGAATGTGATATGAGGCGATCCAGACAGTTTATAATGCCTCCCTAAAATATGATAACAAGAAGAAAATGTCACGCCATCAGATAAAGAGAGAGAGTGGTCCAAGACGAAACGACACCAGTCACAATGGACGTCAATGAGTAGTATCATAGGAGCACCCGTCGGCACCCGCCATCTTCAGTCGATCCGTGAATGGCTCTTGAAATAACCCGAGCAGATCAGTGCCACAGACATTATTCTGATATAGGTCCGCCGGGAGACAGATCAAGTACATGCATAGATCCCAAATGACTTTTCTTGATCTCTGTTATAGTAATGGTAAAAACCCAACTTGTACAACAGAGGTAACATAGCAACAATCGATATATCCACTCAGATACTATCAATGATCATGACTGTAAGCAATGGTTTTCGTTATTTCATGAATGTTATATTGTAATTCTAATGCCACCAATGCCTTACAAGACACGAAAGCAACTAGGCCAAATAGAAAGTTTTCACTGCCTCTCGATTTCGGACATAATTATTGCCTGTATTTTACATTAAATGACCAATCAAATAGAAATTGTAAACACTTTATTTACTAAGGAAGAACGAATGAAAGATTTATGGGGTGGTTGGTGCGGAAAAAGAAAAAGAAATGACTTCATGTTCTTCGAAGCCTATTAAAATTCGGTTCCTCTTCAAATGGCAAGACATGGACGAACAACTCCAACTGACAAAGAACATGTTTTGATCGACTTGTAATAATGATTCTGTTTGGCAAGGATCGTTCTAGACCCAATTATACCTTAAATGCTGCTTTATCAAATCCTATCCTGGGCATCCAGTGGATTAATATAAAAGACCAGTAACTTAAACGGCATAATTGCACTATAATGGAGATGAAATTGCGGGGGAAGGACCGGATGATCTGGGGTTACATTAGGGCATCCTCTTTCCTTCAATGGGATACCAGTGAATCTATATTAAATTCATTGAAATTATCTCTTTAGAAGTGACCAAAAGTGAGACAGCCGGAGTACAATAACCGACGATCTAGCCTTCAAGAAGCATGTCATCATCATGCCACTCTCGTCATGATGAGTGGAAAATGCATTTACTTGACAACAGAACAAGGACCTCAAGACCGAAAGGCCTATACTGCTCAAGATAATTGTACTTCAATATAAACGGATGTTTTTTGTTGTTGCAGGATTCTAAATTTGAATCAAGTGAACTTTTTAATCAAAGACGTTCGTATTTTAGGGTGCTATTGCAAAGCATACCCACGTGGCTCTTCACGGGACTATATACTGCTTTTGAAGAACAGACTAAACATATCGATTTAAAAAACACAGAACATCTTGAAAAGACATTTCTTAGACGTAATCTGCACTTCATATAGATTTAGATTACACAAGTACCATTCGGATTAAATTACAAACATAGTTGTTTAACGGTTGTCAACCATCAGAAAATAAGAGACGCCAATGATACCCTGAGCACTCCTGTCAACCCTTCCAAAACAAATGTCTGACATATCTACTTACCAGATTAAAACCCTTCACAAATATTAGCTAGCAAGGCCCAAATCCGATTAAACCGGTCGGAATAACAGGGAACATTGACATGATGTCGAGGAGTGGTTTTCTTTCTTTTCTTTAGAGCGTGCCACTGGGGTGGGTTTCGAAATGGTCAAGAAAATAAGGCCCCACACAGTGCTCTAACTTCAGTCATGTTATTAGCAAAAGTTCGACACACAAAGTCATCTTCAGTATAATATTATCTGAGAGACAATGTAATATATATTGAAAGATTGAAGTATATTATATTTTGGTAGAACCCGAGACCTTAAACGGAGGACCTTTCATAGTTGAAATAGTTGAAATATTTATTGGTTACTGAATCATCATAGGTTATAACAATAATGTGACAATGTCTTTACATGAGTATAAAACATAAGTTAAATTACATTTCCACATTCAGTAAATCATAGATACATACGCTCGAAGAGGTGATGATACAGAAGGGCTACAGCCTAAGCGTGACAGCTTGATACGCTTGCAGCCCAGAAACATTTAAAATCATAACGATTGTAAAGTAAAGTAAATTACAGAACATAATTGGGGGAAAATAACAAAAAATAAACAGTGACTTGCAACCAAAAAAAAAAATGGGATAGAGGGTGCATGGGAGGGGGATTTTCCTGCTATATCAAGGAAATGCTGACAAACATATATGATATCATGTGTTAATTTAAGAGATTTGTCAATATTTGCTCAATAAAATTGATTTCACACTTTTCTTGAAAGTATATACT